GTTTGCTTGATGTCAGCTAGGAATGATGGATGAACTTCTGACTGAGTTGTTAGAAGCTGCTGATGGACTTTTTTTCAAGAGCATTTCACCAGAGCTTGACACTCCTCAAAAGAGTGATGGGGAAACATCGACAAATAACCGCTTCTGATGCTTAAAACATGCTCATCACGTCATAGTAGTTTTGGGCATGCTCGGAGGGGTTTTCCTCATCCTTGTATTTCTCCACGTGAGGCATCTTGAACTTCTCACATGGGGCATTCATGAGGTCATCAGCAAGGGGGTGTTTCCCCCGATGGCGTTTGTGATCGGTCTGTACACCCGATCGTATTCAGAGGCCTCTATGATAGCAAAGGGTGCTGGAGAAGCACGATGGCGGGGGATAGTCTTGAAGATTAGTCTTGAAGATTACTCCCCTAGTGCGGTTCCCAATATGGCCTGGGCCAGGACTCTCGTCGGCGACTTCCTGATGATGGAGGAGACGTCAGCGAGGTTCTTCGGGGCGAGTCGACCGATGAGGTGGCGGGGTCGCGTGCTCGATGCGATTTCTCAACTGCTTGGCAGCAGCATGAGGAGTCCGAGGCGGGACTATCTGCTGCGTTCTGGAAGGAGGGTGAGCCTCTGACCGTTGGGCTCCAAAAGGCGGGGGAGAGCTGAAGTAGCTTGTTGCGGCTGTGAAAGCCGGCTAAGAAGCTCGCTAGTGAAGATAGCGGGTTGTTGTTGGAGAGACTGAGAAATCTGATGAGCTGTATCTTCAAGCTGAGCTCGAGTAACATAGCTTTGATGTGGTTCTTTAATGTAAGACTACTCAGCCCTATCCCCAGAACCAATCATATTTTCTCAAAAAAGAAAGAAGGCCCCCCACTATAGACGCCAAACTGTTGATGGTAATGATCAAACAATCAATAAAAATGGTTAGATGAGGTTGATGAGAGGCCGCTCCCTTCCTCGAATATCCGGTTCTGAGTTGAGGGACTGAAGCCTGCACAAATAACAGTTCGTGAGAGGACAGGGCTTGGTTCCCCCGTGGTTCCTCCGACGATCAAGTCAGCTAATGAACTTGAGTGGGAAAACAAAGAATTGTGTGAGTTCTTTTGTGTGCAGTATGATTTGCAGAAAGTATTTTAAAGATCAGATCTAAAAGTCGGAATCTGGAAGAAGTTCTATGTTAGAATAATACCTTTATTTATACTAATGGTATAATGGTCACTTCGGCCGAGTACAGGATGACGGTGAAGAAGTGTAGGCTGATGGCTGCGTCAGCACCTACTTTACAGGTGTCGGTTGGCGACTGGGTCACTTCCGTATTAAATGAGAAGCGATTGGAGGCATGACGGTGCTGACGTGGTTCGATGAGTCATGAAGACTATCAGGGCTAGAAGCATGATGACATCTGTCAAGCATTAAATCAATAGACAAAAACTTGGATACAACAAAAATCGACAGTAGAAGATAGAAATTTCTAAAAATCAATGAGAAACCTCAATTGTTGATGTCACGGCTATGAAGAATAGCATCTATCTTTGACAACATCAAAGTTGTCATTGCGATAGCTATTGAGAGGAAGCACTTGTCAGAGAAGCTTTCAAAGTTAATTGTGTTGAGCGTTGCGAAAGCCAAACAACTAAACCAACATGCTATGAGAAATCAAATCAAACGAACGTCGAGAGAAAGCCAAACGAACCAAATCAATGCCACAAACACAAACAACCAATTTTAACGTGGTTCGGCAAATTGTCTACATCCACGGGGCAAGAAGGGGATAGAGTTTTTTTACTAATAGAGAAGAAGAGTACAAATTGAGATTACAAATCACTCAAACTCACCAATTAATCTCACCAACAAATCTCTAATTCTCTCCAAACAAAACCCTAACCAATAACTCAGAAAATACCTTTTTCTGTGCTCCAAATATCCCCAATTTTCTTCTCAATTCTCTATTCCAATTGTTCCATATATATAGAAATCCTAAAATCATAAACATACTAGGAATTCTAAAACAAAAAACAAAACCGATTAGTAATCCTAATAACCTGTTACCAAAACAGATTTGGAATCATGTTACCAAAACAGATTAGGAATCCCAATAACCTGTTACCAAAACAAATTAGGAAACATATTAAGAACCTGCTATCCAACAAATTGATATAGAGAAGAGAGAAAGTTAGTGTTAATAGATAAAAATAATAGCTTTTAGGTGAACACTGGTTGTATTAAGATTTGGTTGTTAGGTGGAACCGAAATGGACAACTAACTTAGGAGGGAGCAGAAATCTAATATTATTTTAGGAATTTGGAGACTAATTCATAGCAACTCACTTAGGTTCCATTTATTATACATGCAACTCACTTAGGTTCCATTTAATGTTCAGTTTATGATGGTGTATCAAAGTTTAATTATTTTGGATCATTAAAAAAGGTTAATTATTTTGTGTTTGTTGCTTGATAGTTTCTTGGTTCCCTGTGTTAACGTCATTAAATGATTGTTTAGTTTCTGATGACATATAAAAGGCTAATTATTTTGTGTTTTGTTGCTTGATAGTTTCTTGGTTCCCCGTGCTGTTAACCTCACTAAATGATTCAATTTCTATATTTTAATGCGCAGTAACTTGGTTTGCTGTAAGCAATCATGCACATATTATCTTCTTAAATGTAAAGCTTGAAAAAGGAATAGGCTTTATCCTTTACTCCTCTTTCTTATTTGACATAAGTATTGCCTGTGAGCGGAATTGATCAGAAACAACATCATCCCATTCAATTTTCATGTGACCCAAGATGATATTTTATTTCATTAATTTCATCTCCTCAGTGATATTTTCCATGCATAATTTGATCCTTGATTCCGTATTGATGAATGTCTCTTATTAACAGCCTTATCGATTTGATGAACTGGCAAGAATTGAGAGATCTGGTGGATGGGTTGTGAACTGGCATGGTTTCAGAGTTCAAGGGGTGCTTGCCATCTCGAGATCTGTAGGTATGTCACCTCTGCATCATTTTGACCTTGTGAAGTTAATGGTTAGTATAGATGAATGATCGTTTGAATAAATTTAAGTTGAGCATATATATGTAGGGATTAGCTTAGTGTAGATCATTTCCCGATAGAAATCACGCAGGAAGAGGCAACTGTCTCATCAACAAATTTTCCTACCTGAGAACTTGCCTTTTAGGTTTTACTTTTAGCCCCTATAAAATTCCATATTTCTACACTGATGTGAGGCCCAAAGTATCTGTCAATTTTGTAATAAGTCTACTTTTGAATTGTCAAACTAACAATATTCCTCGACATTTTTAGTATTAGGGACCTATCAATCCGGTTAAAAATCCTAGTTAATAACCAACTTTAGAACTAGGTAATGAATGGCTAGCTACTAGCCCAAAATCTCCCGTTCCTTAACGTGTCTCGGATATATTTTTGCCCTTTTTTGCATGTACGCCCCAGAAAACATGACAAATATTTTATACCCCAACCACAAAATGTTGTAGTTTTGATGGGTATGTTAACTTGGGAAATTTGTGACACAGTTTAATTACTTTTTAAAATACTACCCAAGTCCCCACAAACATGGTCCTCAAATTCCTTTCTAACAAAAAATAATATTGCATTGGTACATATTACTATATTGTTGCAAGTTATTTTGGATAACATGGGACATTTATACGTTTGAAATAAAAAATAAAAATAAAACTTGAAATATGAACTTTTATCACGAAACTGGGATGGCAGGAGACTATGATCTCAAGCCACATGTGATCTCCACGCCAGAGTTGACCGTCATCAACCGGACAGACAAAGATGAGTTTCTGATATTGGCAAGTGATGGACTGTGGGATGTTATTTCCAATATCGTGGCGTGCAGGGTGGTTAGGAACTGCCTCACTGGACGATCAGCCAAGAGATATCCGGACTCTGTTAAAGGGCACACTGCTGGTATTGCAGCTTCACTCTTGACCAGGATGGCATTTTCACAAAGAAGCTTGGATAATGTGAGTGCAGTGGTTATCCAGTTTGCAGACTTGCTAGAATGATCTTGTGAAGGAGGGTGCTGGTCTTTTTACTGGCCTTGTTTAGGTATAGAGTGTGTATGTTGTCGTATCTAATGGTAGATGTCTAGTCTAAGCAAGGGGAAGAGCTGAAGAGTTGCAACATTAACCTGGGATAGGAAAGAAAATTGGGAAGATATGGTTTTTTGTTATGTCGAAGTTGTAAAACAATAATGCTAATAAAAGGCCAGAAATGAAGTTTCAAATTGAATTGGGATAGGAGATGCTTGCTTATCAAATGGTTTTCCTTGTCTGTTTGAGTTAACTTTGCATAGAAAATGGGCATGCACTAATACAACAGTTATTTTACACTGCTGATGAGCTAGAATAGCAGTTTCCTAGTTTCAGCTAGAATATTCAGGCCTTGGACAAATTGGTCTAGTGTTAGTATAGTTGTAAATCATAAAAAACTAAGCTCCATATAGAAGACACATAGGAACCACTTAGGGACAATTGGATTAAAATCAACTTTGATGGTGCAAGATCTCCTATATTAGCGGCAGCCGCAATTCCAATTGATCACATTGAGGTTAACTACGCAGAACTGATTGGTGCTTGGTCCGCCCTCACTTAGTGCTACGAAAGGTATGGGGCGTGCTTGGTCTGGATTGAAGACGACTCTAAGCATGTTCTTGACCTCCTTAGTAAGGAACCCTACCACACTGATTCCCTAATTCTGGTCGATTGTAAATCCATCCTTTCTTCGATGGAAGAATACAAGATCTCCTACATATTCAGAGAAGGTAATGCTTCACCTGATCTTTTGGCCAATATGAGTTGTGGAACGACGTCGTCTATTCTTTGGGAGTTTGATTTTCCAGGCACCTTGCTAGCTTCTGTAGAGAGGGACATGAGAGGACCTTTTGTGCGGTTGTAACCTTTTGATTTCTATCCTAGCCAAAAAACTAAAAAAATAATAATTCGCAATAGAAAATGTCTTAAGGACCCAAAATATGGGACCAAGAGAGGAGACAGATGAAGTATCCCCTCGCTATTGCATAATGAGCTGGTCATGTCAGCTCATTATGCAATAGGAGGGGTATATATATACACAAGACACATATTTTATTTACCCTCACACAAGCATATTGAAAACACATGACCTAAAGTTACTCTTTCTCATTACAAAAACAAAGCTCATCTGCTTTATTTGAAAGTTCAGATAAAAATTAACGAAAAAGGCCCACTTTACAAAAGCAAGAAAAGATTGAATACTAGAGACGGGTATAAACACCATTCAACTACACAAAGCAATTAGACATCATCTTAAATAGAAAATTGCTGGAAAACAAGTTGAATTAGTAGAAAGAATTGTTCGTTCGTGGCACTTAAAAGAAGCACATGATAGGATTAAATAAGATAATTGCTTTGGTTTTTCATTTCAGTTAAAATAAAAAAGAGAAATTATTGAGATTAGGGAAAATGGAATGAAGATATGGGAGAATTTTAATTTAATCATAAAAGCCCTCTTTTTTTAATTTAGATCTTCCTATGACCTATCATATCTGAAGTGTCTTCAAAAGAGAAGTATTTCATGGGGTGCGCAGCACATTCTTTAGTTATGTTTCAAGTGATAAGGTGTAATATGATTCTAGGGACAAATAGCTTTTCTTTTGCACTTCGAACCAATGCTTTGAAGCGAGCCTTGGAAGTGATTATCCTTCTAAATGCTCCGAACTGAGCCTCGGATAGCTCTCCAAAAAACTCTTTCAAACATTGAAGGTAACATCTGCCAGTATTTTTTACTTTAAGGAGATGAATGAGTCATTTGCTAGGTTTGAAAAATATTGAGAAACTTATGGTTGTTGGGATTCAAACTCATTAAGATGATCTCCAAATGGGTTGCTCGAGATTGCCATCTCATGTAGTCAAGAGGCTTTATGGTGTGTATAAGGCATGATGCTCTAGCATGAATTCTTGTATGTTTGTCTACTGATGGGGGTGTTTTCGTCAAAAGTTGGTTTTGCTGTGGAATTCATTATATCTTCGGTCGATTACAACAAATTCAAAAGAAATAGTCTTTTTATAAGACTTCTCTTACACAACAAAAGGAAAAATTATAACTTTTTAGAAACAAACGTAAGATCGTTGTTTGGATCGCTGCTTGCGTGGGATCTTTGCCTGTGCCGGGGGTGCGTTAGCCCGTGGACCACCGATTCACAGATTCTGATTGAATCGTGAAGGTTTTGGGAATTCTTCCTTCGTTTATCGAAGTAAGAATTTAAAGCGAATATCTTATCGATGTAAGATGTTCACTTTTCTAAAGATCAAGTCAGAGCTTAGATCTCTAGGAATCGCCAAAAGCTTCTTGAGGGTGTTTGTGAAGAAGGAAGACTCTCTCTCTCTTGCTCCAAATCACCAAAAGCTCAAGCCTTTTCTGCTCTAAAATGCCCTCTCCCCTTTATTTCGTGTCTAGGGAGGTATTTATAGGGGTATGAGTGCACAACAGTTGAAATGGAGGCGAAACAACTAACCCGATAAACCCTCTTTGGCCGCGGCAGCCAACACTACCGCGGCTATTGGTGCGACAGTGTGGACTGCCGCGGCCAAGGAGGTAGTTACCAGCACGTTCCATCGTGCTTGAAACGGTTCTCCCACGACCTTTAACCACCTTTTTCGTGGTTTAACTGTTTGTCCACGTCAGCACACGTTCTATCTCTGATAATGCTGCCACGCTGCGGTTCTAATACGATCATCGTCACAACTGTTTTATAACGCCGCCGCAGCACTCCTCTATAATAGCCGCGGCACCTTGGTCTGCCGCGCCTTACCCGCGGCACCATGGGTTGTCGCGCCTTAGCCGCGGCACCATGTCCTGCCGCGCCTCAGTCGCGCCGCCGTGTGCGGCCTGTTGGTGTGTACATTATTCTTCCATGTTGTTTCGCTTCCTTTGAATCATCCCCTTCTGATTAAGAGAGCAGCGTTTATCGTCTTCTCTTTGCCTTGAGTGGTATTTGGATGTCTGTAAGCATTTTTTGACGCCTACAGATACACCCTCCAAAATATCTCAGACTCATCATTTTTCTTAGAAAGGAGTCTGAGACACTTTGGATATGATAAGTTTTTCTTGCAAAATTTTTTTTTTAGTACTTTGTTGAGGAAGTTGCGTAACATAGTCTGTGGATGGCTTCAATTCTTGACTTCTTCATCTTTTAGCCTATTTGTTGAGGAAGTTGCGTAACATAGTCTGTGGATGGCTTCAATTCTTGACTTCTTCATCTTTTAGCCTATTCAGTGCTTTGTAGAATAGCTAAAATTGGATGGCTTCAATTCTTGACTTCTTCATCTTTTAGCCTATTCAGTGCTTTGTAGAATAGCTAAAATTTCTTCGGTGCTGCGTTTATCGCGTGGCCGTTGTCGAAGTCTTGAATTTGAACTGCCGTCGAAGAATGAAGAAATAGTTTATACTCATATGCTCTATTGGAGTGTTCGGAAAATAGTTTAACCTCATATACCCGTTGGGAGGTTATCATGTTATTCTTAAGAATATTCTGAATAATATTCTCCAGAAACTTCCTGTTGAGAATAGGGAAACAGTTTAGACTCGTGTACCTATTAGAGTAAAATGGTCTTTTTTGGTGGTAGAGATGAACCCAATGATGGAGAAAAAGATTTTTATATTCTATCTCCTGGTCTCTTGTTTGTTGGTAGAGATGAACCCGATGATGGAGAGGAAGAATTGTATATTCTATCTCCTGATATCTTTTTTGTTGATAGAGATGAACCCGAAATCGGAGAGGAAGAATTTTATATTCTATCTCCTGGTCTCTTGTTTGTTGGTAGAGATGAACCCGATGATGGAGAGGAAGAATTGTATATTCTATCTCCTGGTCTTTTTTTTGTTGGTAGAGATGAACCCGAAATCGGAGATGAAGAATTTTATATTCTATCTCATGGTCTCTTGTTTGTTGGTAGAGATGAACCCGAAATCGGAGAGGAAGAATTTTATATTCTATCTCCTGGTGCAAAAGAAACTCGAAGTGGGATCTCCACTTAGAGAATCTGGATTGGTTTGAATAATCCTAACTGTCATAAGGTTTGATTATCCAATTCAAAGTTGGACCTTTCGTTCACAAAATAAATCGAAAGGAGATTTTGACTGTGGTCCTAACTGTAGTAAGGTTTGACCAGGTGGGAGTTTCGAGGTGATCCTAACTGTAGGAAGGTTTGATCACTCGATTTATGGACCTCTTGTTCATGGAAGGAGAGGAGATTTTGATTTTGGTCATAACTGTTTAAAGGTTTGACCAAATGGGAATTCGATACAATCCTAATTGTTTAAAGGTTTGATCGCTCGATTTATGGACCTCTCGTTCATGGAAGGAATCGAGAGGGGATTTTGGCTTTGATCCTAACTGTTTAAAGGTTTGACCAAATGAGAATTTGAGACGATCCTAATTGTTTAAAGGTTTGATCGTTCAATTTGAGTGGACCTCTCGTTCATGGAAGGAATCGATAGGGGATTTTGGCTTTGGTCCTAATTGTTTAAAGGTTTAACCAAATGGAAATTTGAGACGATCCTAACTGTTTAAAGGTTTGATCGTTCAATTTGAGTGGACCCCTCGTTCATGGAAGGAATCGAGATGGGATTTTATCTTTGGTCCTAACTGTTTAAAGGTTTGACCAAATGGAAATTTGAGACGATCCTAACCGTTTAAAGGTTTGATCGTTCAATTTGAGTGGACCTCTCGTTCATGGAAGGAATCGAGAGGGGATTTTGTCTTTGGTTCTAACTGTTTAAAGGTTTGACCAAATGAGAATTTGAGACGATCCTAACTGTTTAAAGGTTTGATCGTTCAATTTGAGTGGACCTCTCGTTCATGGAAGGAATCGAGTGGGGATTTTGGCTTTGGTCCTAACTGTTTAAAGGTTTGACCAAATGGGAGTTTGATACGATCCTAACTGTTTAAAGGTTTGATCGTTCAATTTGTGGACCTCTCGTTCATGGAAGGAATCGAGAGGGGATTTTGGCTTTGGTCCTAACTGTTTAAAGGTTTGACCAAATGGAAATTTGAGACGATCCTAACTGTTTAAAGGTTTGACCGTTCAATTTGAGTGGACCTCTCGTTCATGGAAGGAATCGAGAGGGGATTTTGTCTTTGGTCCTAACTGTTTAAAAGTTTGACCAAATATGAGTTTTGTGAGGGAAGATTGATCCAACAAAGTGATCGAATCTCATCTCAGCAAAAGAGTATTCGGAAATCACCGTGG